GTGGATGCGAGGGATTTGGTGGCGGGTGAGGGTGAGGGTGGACATGGCACTCGAGCTCTAGACGTATGTTGCTCTTCCTGCGACTGTATCTCTGTTGAAAGAGGAAAAAAGTTAGCTCGAGCACCATTTTACAACCAGAAAAAGATATTACTTGAGCCCAAGTATTTCGATAGCCTCGGCTCGGTCCATCTTTGCCTTGAAGCCGCCTTTTGCGAGCTCCTGCCCGGCTTTTTTGCCTAGTCCCAGTGCTCCGGTTCTCATGGCATGTCGTACAGCTACTGCTGCAGTGATGGCTCCAATGCCGACGATTAAAGGAGTGGCCATATCTGTTCTGGCAGAGTTCAAGTTTTGTGTGCACCACTTCGACGGTCGATCGTTCCTCTTAAAAAGAAGAATTTTACCAGGGGAGGACCAACAGTACCAGATGAGGAACCAACAGGATTATCGACACTAGAAGAGAAATGTGTGCAATAAAGCTCTGCATCATGAATGAACGACGTGACGAATGACGAACGACCTTGAACACTAGATTTAACCAAGAAGACAAATAATATTGTGACACGAGAGAAAACATCTATTGCAACGTTAACAATATAGGGGCGCCCTTTCCTTTGGTTCGAGGACTCGTAGCCATCGTTCGCGAATGAGACGATCCACTTCCCAATCCTAGAGCACCCGCGACCGAACTCCATCCACCCCAGTTGAATACACTCTTGGCAGCGATCTCTCCAAATCCAAGCATGACACCATTGATGAACGGGAGGAGCAAATTGATGGCCAAACTGGACGCGAGCGCCAACAGCCTCGCGCGGCGGGACAAGGAAGAATCAAAGACGGAAAGGGTAACTGAGGGAGGTGCGACAGCTGGAAGTGCCAATACGGGGCCTTCTCCACGGTGCGACGAACCGTGCGGGTGTCTTTGTGGGTCGTTTGTGGCGTCACCTTCAAGAGGAGGAAAGTTGATAGAAGGATAAGAAGACGTCAAAGAGTCGGAAGGTACATTCTCCCATCCTTGGGAGTTGTCCTCACCTGAGCCGGAGGCGTTTCCACCCCGCCGTTGGTTTTGCGCATTGGGAGAGATGACTTGCTACACAAAAAGATGAGAAAACAGAGCTTGTAGACGAGAAAAGAAGAGCAACATACGTCTAGAGCTCGAGTGCCATGTCCACCCTCACCCTCACCCGCCACCAAATCCCTCGCATCCAC